CCCACCGTGTCATGCTCCGACACAGCCCCTCCATTACCACGGTGGCCCGGATGCGGTGGCCAGGCTGGGGACCAGCACGGAGCCCTCCAGCCAGAGACATGCCTGGGGTGTCGGTCTCTGCTGGGGAATTAAGAGGCTGAGCAGGGGGATGCTTTCATGCCCTTCTTCCTGGCCAAAACCTTCTTTGTTGCAGCCTCAGGGATGCGCAGCCAGGCCGAGGGATGTGCGGCTGTGTTCAGGGATGCATAATCATGCCCAGGGATGCGTGGCTGTGCTTGGATGCCTGCACAGACACCTGCAGGCTCACACTGTGTCATGCAGCTGGGGCAGAGCCATGGGGGAGGACATAGGTTGACTGCTGGCATGCCAGATGTCCCATGCTGGATGTCCCCGTGGAGCGGGATGCTTGGCGTGGAGGGGGGCTCCCCGCAGCCGGTCCCTGCACTCTCGCCGCGATGGAGTGCAGGTTGTCACTGGCAGCTGTCCAGCACGGTCTCCTTGTCCAGCACAGTGCAGTGGAGCTGGCTCAGGGCCACCACATGTCCTGTAACTGCTGAGTAACAGGGCAGGACCGGAGGTGAGATGATGCTGCATCCTTTTTTGTGGCCTTCAGAGCTGCTCTGCATGCTGGGACCCTCCCCCGCTAGGGGTACGGTACAGTCACAGTGGTGAGGTATCGCCCCAGGGGGCAAAAATCCTTACAGTGCCAGCAATGGCGGGCAGAGCCTGTTAAGATGCTATTGCCTGGGGCCAGGCAGGAGGCACCAGCATGACAAGACCCTTGAGTCCCACTCACATGTTTAATGGCTCCATAGTCACTGTGGCAATGGCGGATATAGTAGCTGCAGGGACATGGGGTGCCCCACACGTGTGGGTGATGCGAGCTGGACCCTGTCTAGCCGTCACACTCGTGGGCTCTGCCTCTGCTATCTGGCACAGCCAGGGCCCAACCCTACAATCTAGCTGGGACATGCAGGCAGCCTGGAGAGGTGGGGGCCAGATGTGCACTTCAGTGCCCAGATGTGCACCATGGCACTCAGGCAGATGGGCCGTGCCTGCCGCTGCTCTGGGCCTCTTGCCCAACGGCTCTGCTGGGTGCCAAGACAGGGGTCAGCAGGCGGGAAAGTGCCAGGATAGTCATTTGGGTGCCGGAAATGAGCTCCTGTGAGAGGCTTAGCATTCAATCTGTCCCAGGCGCTAAAGAAGATTGGGAGTCATCTTCATTAAAAGGAATAAATGCTTTGGCAGGGGGAAAATGACAGTGCTAAGAAACCCCCTAATCCCATGTGAAGGTGGCAGCCAGTGATTAACCCCATGGAGAGGTGTGGCAGTGTGCTGCCCTGGCCAAGCATTGACCCTGCGCCTGCCTGATCCCCTCCGTGCACTCCAGCAGGGTTTGGAGGACACTCACCATCACAGGATGCAGTTAGAACCAAAACAAAGGAGGAGAAGGAATGAGGGGCCCCTTAGCACCCCAGTGCTCCCAGCGCAGCTGCTTTGGGGATGGCACAGGGCTGGATGGGGGCAGACAGCCTTGGGGGTCTCATCTCCCCCATGGCTTCCCAGCAAAACATCCGGTCAGTGGCACCCAACTGAAGGTGGCGGGGCTGGGAGGAAGGAGGAATCCCCAGCAGCTGAGTGGGCAGCCATGTGGGGGTGTGCCCGATAGCACTGAATGGCTGAGAGGGTGGTGGAAGGTGGGAGCTGGAGGTATGGACATGGGGGTTGTCCCACAGGTGCTGCTTGTATGTCCCTAAACCCCCACACTGTGCACCCCCACAGCCGCCTCGCATGGGGAATGGGGAAGGGAAAAAATGGTGAAAAATAGGGGAAAATACAGGGAAGAGTATTGTCCCAGATGGCTGTCTGTGTGATTGAGCTCACCAGTTTGCCTGACTCTCCATCTCTGTGCCTGGGGTGGTAGCTGGGGGACACAGCACCCCCAGGAAGAGCCCTGCCCAAGGGCATGTCCTGTGGCACCAGTGAACACCGTGTGTGACCCCCCAGTGCTGGCATTTCCCATGGTGTGGTGTGGTGGCACTCCCCCCTCGCAGGGCCTTGGCTGTGTCAGTGGCAGGGTTCCAGGGGTCCAGGTGTGGGGAAGGAGCTGTCGGTGCTGCTGCTTGTGTCTGCGACCTTAGCTTTTAAAGCTGTGTGTGGTGATTGAATCTGTCCCTGCTCACGTCCCTGAGGTGCAGCCATGGGGGGCATGCATGTGTGCACACAGGCTATGTGTGTGTGGATGCACATGCTGCATGTTAGGGCACCCCCATCGCACACGTGTGCACACACGTCGCAGGAGGACACACGTGGGCCCCATGTGTGGTGCGAGGCTGCTGTGTTTTGCTCCTGGCCTCACGGTTTCCAGCCAGGGATGTCTGTGCACGAGCATGCTGGATGTGTGCATGTGTGTGTATACAGACACACATGCATGCATGCATGAGTGTACTCGTGTGTGCATCCATGGAGTAAAGGGGAGTGTGCATGTGTGTGAGCACAAGTGTCTGCATGCTTGGGCATGCTTGCAGCGATGTGCGTGCACATGTTCGTGTACATGTGCATGTGTGCAGGGGGTTTTACTGTGCACAGGCATGTGTGTACATGGCTGCGTGCACGTACACTGATGTGTGTGAGCCCCTTTTCCCTTGGGAAAGCTGGCATAGGGGTGACAGGGTGGGATGGGATGCAGGGGTCAGGGTGGGTACAGATTTGGCTGAGCCATGGGAAGTGCTGCTGTGAGTGGTTTCTCTGCAGCATTTTCTCTGGCAAGTCCCAAGGGGCTCAGGGCAGAGCCCCCTCCCTGGCTTGACACGGCTTGGCACAGCTCGGCACGGCTCAGCATGGCTTGGCATGGTTTGGCATGGCTTGGCTCAGCTCAGCACAGCTCAGCTGGAGGTGGGCGGCCAGGGCTGGGGCCCCACTGCCGGCAGCCGCCCCCCTCCCGGCAGCTGCCGCACATCCGCGGCGTCCCACTGGCTCGCAGCTGTGCGGAAGGAAGCGGGACCCAAAACAGCCTGGGCTCAGAGCCAGTGGCCCCGTGCCACGTCCCCATGGAGGGGGCACGTCACTCACAGCCCCCGCTGCTGCACCCCGCATTAGGCACTGGGTTCATGGTGTCCATGTGCAGCCCCCTCCCTATCAAAGGAATCATGTGCCGCACCAAAAGCCCCCACCTCCCTGAAAGCAGGGGTGAGAACAGAGCGCCCAGGACAGGGACCAGCAATTCGGGTGACCACCCAGCGAGAGTGGCCTGGTGCAAACCCCTTGGGGGTGTGGGGTGGTAGAGCCGTGCTCTGAGACCCCCACCCTGCTCTGCCCCCCAGGCGATGGAGAGCAAGCTGCTCATAGGCGGCAGGACCATTGTGGACCACACCAACGAGCAGCAGAAGATGCTGGAGCTGAAGCGGCAGGAGATAGCTGAGCAGGTAACAGTGCTGGGGCCTGTGGGTGACAGGGGTGTCCCGGGGAGGCCAGTCCCCCCTCCTGACTCTGAGTGTTTCCCTCTATGCTGCAGAAACGCCGGGAGCGGGAGATGCAGCAGGAGATGTTGCTGCGGGACGAGGAGACCATGGAGCTGCGGGAGACTTATACCTCCCTGCAGCAGGAGGTGGAGATCAAAACCAAGAAGCTGAAGAAGGTGAGTGTGGCTGTGGGGCTGACCACCCCTCCAGACCCCAGAGCCCCGGGGGTCCGCGCTGAAGAAGGTGAGTGTGGCTGTGGGGATGACCACCCCTCCAGCCACCAGAGCCCTGGGGCTCGCTGCAGCCCCCAAGCCATGGGTCTGATGATCTGCTCCTCTCCCCAGCTGTATGCCAAGCTGCAGGCCGTGAAGGCGGAGATCCAGGACCAGCATGATGAGTACATCCGTGTGCGGCAGGACCTGGAGGAGGCACAGAATGAGCAGACACGGGAGCTGAAGCTGAAGTAGGTGGCCATGTGTCCCCTGCAGCCATGCAGGGCAGAATTGGGGTGCAGAGGGCAGAGCTGGGGGTACACAGCAGAGCTGGGATGTGTAGAGCAGAGCTCGGTGCTCAGAGCAGAGCTGGGGTATGCAGAGCAAAGCTGAGTTATGTGGAGCAGAGCTGGGGTGCATGGAGCAAAGGTGGGTTATGTAGAGCAGAGCTGGGGTGCACAGAGCAGAACTGGATTATGTAGAGCAGAGTTGGGGTGCACAGAGCAGAGCTGGGGTGCGCAGCTGGAGGGAGCGATAAAGCCTGCTGACAGGGACATGTGAGCACTTCCTACCCCATCAGCAGTGGCAGAAGGTGTAAAACATATTTACATCTCTTGAGCTGGGTGAGTCACACATGAGTATTAAAAACTTGCTGAGAAAGGTGAGAAACCAGAAAATACAGAAACAGAAAAGCCAGTACAGCCTCAGTGCAGGCTGTGGGTGAGTTACGGGACCTGGCAGTGGTAGCTGGAGGTAAGTGTCCCCTGAGGGTACCTGGAGACTGCTGCAGCCTCAGCACTTTCCTCAGAGGAAGAGCAGCTCCGGGAGCCTTTGGGTGGGCTCCTGGCCTACAGGAGCACAATGGTGGCAAAGCCATGTTCCCCAGGAACTTCCAGCAGCAGATGCATCTGCTGGCCCACCATCCTCAGTGGGTGTTTTCACTTCAGCAGTAACTGCATTCAGTGTCTTCACAAAACCCCACCCAGCCATGTATCTTGAGCATCTTCAAGACAAAATATTTCTACTTTTACTAGAAACAAAATTTCACCTCAAATTTTGCTGCCTTTCTCTTCACACATGATTCAAACTTTTTAAAAGCTGGCAACTCAATGGAGCAACTCAGCAGTGCAAACCCGTTTTCTGTAGTTGCTTGATTTGGCCCCCAAAGTATGGAAAAAGTTATTCCCCCGAGTTCATTTCGCATCACTGAGCTTTCCTTTATCATCTGGTCAGACAGCAGGGAGCGGACGGGGGTTCCTGCTGGAGGAAGTCTTGCTGAGCTGCCCATGTCTTCACTCCTCTCTGATGACTGTCTTCCTCTGCCCTCCCTCTCCTGCCTCTCTGTCCTATTGCCTCACCCTCTCAATTTCTATCCTGTTTCCATTTTCTGTATGTTTTCCTATTTCCCTGTGCTGTCTCACTGTCTCCCTGACATCCCTTTCCTCTCCCTTTCTGATCTGTTTTTGGTCACTTGCCACATTAACTCCTTCCTTTCCTGCTCCTTCCCCATCTTTGATCCTGCTCTGTCTCTTGGCTGGTCACTCAGGTACTTGATCATCGAGAACTTCATACCACCAGAAGAGAAGAACAAGATCATGAACCGCTTGTACTTTGATGGTGACGAGGATCAGTGGAAGTTCCAGCCACTTGTGCCCACCGGAGGGTATGTCCCTGTCCCTGTCCCCAGCCCATGCACTGGCCCTTTTAGGCACAAGGCCTCTGCCTGCAGGGCAGGGATGTCCCGGGGCAAAGGCGACAGCAGGGACCCAGGGATGCTTGCAGGTGCCTATGGGTGGAAATACTCTCCAAGTCAAACCCCACCAAGAAGGGTCACCCTTCAGTCACTGTAGCTGAGCTCCGTTCATCACCATTTGGATGGGGTTTTAGTAGGAATTTAAGTTCTCTACTACATGTTCCTCTCCTAATTTATTTTTTAGAAACAGCAACCAGATGAAGAAGCGGCCTACCTCTGCAGTGGGGTACAAGAGACCCATCAGCCAATTCGCCCGCGTGGCCATGGCCATGGGATCTCATCCTCGGTACCGGGTAAGTGAGGGGGGCACTGCTGCATGCCAGGGGGACAAGAAGTCATTGGATAAATGGGATGGATGGATGGATGGATGGATGGATGGATGGAAGGATGGATGGACAGATGGACAGACAGATGGATGAAGAGTGGGAGAGAAGGCGGAGTAAACAAGCCCATGATGATTTGGGGTACATCACTTCAAGCTCCCAGCTTTATCCACCCACTTGGCAGGATAGGTGGCCATGCTTTCAGCTGGTCCATGAGCTGCTGGCTTGGTGGATCTGACAGCTCCTGCTGTTTGAAAAGACAGGGCCATTCAGCCTCTGGCTCAGCCCCAAAGAAGACCAGACGAGCTGGAGCAGAGCCATGAACCTGAACCCTAGTGTGGAGCTTTCCCTGTGGCTGTGGCAGCCAGAAGGTCCCACTCCCCGGCATGCTGATCACCTTCTCTCAGTGCCGTCGACTTGACAGAGCTGGTGTTGTGTTGAGCCACACAGTGACTCCTCATGTTGGTTTTCCTTTGCCCTGTCCTGCTGCAGGCTGAGAACATCATGTTCTTGGAGCTGGACCTCTCCCCTCCAGCCATCTTTGAGTTTGAGCGGAGCAGGGACCCAGCAGAGCAGGACCCCCGCGCTCTGCACCTGGAGAGGCTGATGCACCTGGACAGCCTCCTGGAGCGGCCGGTGGCCTCCCGGGTGAGGAAGTCCCGCTCCTGGTGAGTGCCAGTGGGGAACAGGGGGGACACATGGGTGCTGCAGTGTGGCTGGGATGCTCCATGTGGGCAGTGTATGGGCTTGGGGCAGGCAGAGGAGTTGTAGCAGAGCTGCAACCCTGTTCCTTTTGGAGTTGAGCCTGGCCATGAGCTGTTGGGGTGTGATTAGGTTTTAAAATATGGCTGACACTGCTTTGGTAACAGTTGTTGGATGTGTGTTAAAAACAGGTGATATCCATTTCAGTACAGGAAAGTCATAGACCTGTTGGGACTGGTCCAGAGGAGGCCATAAGGATGATCTGAGGGCCGGAGCACCTCTCCTACTGAGACAGGCTGAGAGCTGGGCTTCTTTAGCCTGCAGAAGAGAAGGCTCCAGGGAGATCTTAAAGCAGATTCCAGTGCCTAAAGGGGCCAATAAGAAAGCTGTAGAGGGGCTTTAGACAAGGGCCTGTAGGGACAGGACAAGGGGGAATGGCTTTAAACTGACAGAGGGGAGGTTTAGATGAGCCGTTAGGAAGA